GCAGGAGGAGATTGGATCCAGCACAATGCAGGAGGAGATTGGATCCAGCACAATGCAGGAGGAGATTGGATCCAGCACAATGCAGGTTTAATGATTTTGCTTGCTTGCTTGCCACCTCTAAAACCTACTTCCAACAATCTGGTAAAATTCTCCTATCCACACCTTTATCTCTCCCTCATTCTTCCCTCTCCTTTCCCAATTCCCTTTTCTCCTAGACTTTATCTAACATAATCAACCATTTAAACAATATACACTCATTTCAACCTCTTTTAACGTGACTTCCTTAGATTTTGACATTTTAACATTTTTAACTCTTTTGCTAGCCACTTTATTCTTAAATTTTAGTCAAGAAAGTAGATAAAAAATCACCTGGGCAACATAGAGTCTGTGACTAAGGAAAGAACAGGGATGACAAAGGGAAATGTAGCGCAAAAGGAGAGGGAAATTAGGGAATAAAAAAAGGGAAGTTGAAGCGATTGGTGACATTGCAGATGTAGATGAATGAAAAAGACAATGGGGTTAGGGCATGAAAGAGACAGGCAGCCCATGAAAATAGAATAAGGCAGACACTGAGATCAAATGAAGACAACTTACTGAGCAATATAACAAAAGGTCCAATGACATTTACAAGTCTACCTCCACTCAGTAAAGCTTCTACACCACAATGTGTTTCACCCCTGTCAATTACTCCAAACTATCCTAACTAATTTGAACAGTACATGTGGTCTCCATTGAAAAACTTATATATTCCATCCTGTCAAATTCTTCTTCTCCAGTTCCAGACCAAGTTTCTTAATATGAGCCACAATGCAGGAATATGTGTGTGTGTGTATTTTAAATGTGTAATTATGCTGCTGCAAAAAAGCTAACCAAATGTTTGACTCTGTTTTTCTAAGATTGATTGTTTTTTTGTTTTACCTACTTGTGCAGTAACTCATGTTGTTTATCACCATGATGAGGAATGAATTTGCTACAAATCACGAGGGAGAAATATTCTATTCCACCACCAGATGGCAGTAGTTACACGTGTACATCTGATCTTTAAATTGTTCCACAGCAATTTATTTTTTCTATTTCAATTAAGTTATCAGGAAAATACCAGCTGTGGTTACCATGAAGGACTCTCCTCTCACCTGAGGTGCAGTGACCGTCAGGTTAAATCACCACCAATCATCTCACTCTAATGAATGAGTAACTTTATGGTCCTTTAGGACTTTGGTGACATTTATTGTAAATGTATCACTGTGATGGTGTTAATACAGTATTTCATTGCACACCATTAAATAAACATGTAAAAATTATGCAGAAAATGCTGGAAATATTCATGAGGTTAACAGCATTTGCAGAGAGAGAAGCAAAGTTTAACATTTCAAGTCACTGACATCAGAACTGAGAAAGTGTTAGAAGTGTCATACCTTTTGAGCGAAGCGTGGGTGCGACAAGGCCAAAAAGAAGAAACATAGGGGCATAGGTCTTAGGAGCATTAGTGGGCCATTTAGTTCTTCAAGCCTGTTCCATTATTCTACTAGAAGTTAGCTGCTCTGGTTATGGTCTCAACCCCACTTTCTGGTGTGCATCCCATAATCTCCAGCTGCCTTGTTGATCAAAAATTTATCAAACTTTGCCTTAATTAAATTTGATAACCCAACCTGCACTGCTTTCTCATCTTTTAATTTAATTCTTGGAGTTCAGATTTAATTCACTGATACTGCACTGATCTTCTATACTCCAAAATTAAGCTCCAGTTTGGCAGGACATTCATTTCTAAATTTTACTGTCTTTTTAAAACTCTGGAACAAAAGATATGCCCACAGAAGGTGTGCAAAGCAAGAATAAGATAAAAACTGAAACAAACAATATAAAACATAAAGGGGCAGAGTTTATGACCTGAACGTATTGAATTCGATGTTGTGTCTGGAAGACTGTAAAGTGTCCAGTTGAAGGGTGAAGTGCTGAAGGTCACGTCATGCTTTACCAGAATAATGCGATTGGACAGAAATGTCACAGTGAGGGCAAGGTGCAAAATTAAAATGTCAGGCCACAAAAAGCTCAGAGTTATGACTTCAAACTGAAGCTAAATGAACATGCTTTGTAAAGTGGTCACCCAATTTGCTGTTAGTCATCCCAATCTAAAACAGACCACCTAGTGAATAACAAACACAATATAGTAAATTGAACAAAGTACAAGTGATTCACTACTTTACCTGAAGGAATGTTTGGGCTTTGAACATTGAGGAACATGGAATTTAAAAATTCAGTTGCATAGAATTTGATGTTTTTGCTTCTACAAATAAAATTTATATTAATTATACATTTGTAATTGCCACCAATTCTTCCATACCCCTGCTCCCTTCCCACTGCCACTGAGGTTGGCTTTATTGAAACATCCACTTTCAGCATGGCTGCCTTCTTCCCTTTGATAAATTCAAAACAATTCATCCAAATAAATATTGAAAATGTGCTCAGGTACTAGAAACAAGCTCTAAATCTGTCACAGGGCTAAGGTTGCCATGGAAACTGAAAAGTCTCTGGTTAAACATGTCTATTCCAGATATTTTACAGTTTTAACTCAATAAAATGAATTCCTAAATGAGAACTGTGACAACCTATAGTCAATATTTTTGCATTAAGAGTTTTATTTCAAATGTGTTGTATTTAACATGATGGTTTCTCAAATATCTTAGTTCTTTGGAGTAATCATACATTCATGCATGGATGCTCTGCCCAAAGGCAAATCCTTTGCTTTTTGTTTGCAACCTGAGTTGTTTTCTTAGCTGTTTCTGTCGGTGGTGGTTTGCCAGTGCCTTACAC